ATCAATTCTTCTGAAGTTAAAAACCAAGCATTTTATGATTTAAATATTGTGAGAAGCGGGAACTATAGAGATAGAGCAAGGACTTTAATGCACTTGCATTTTTTTTCTGGTTGGTCTTCGCTAAATAGGTAATAAGCACAACGTTGCTGATGAAATAATCATCATTTTGAATGCGTATTTTCAATTTTGTCATTTTTATTTTTTTAGGGCATACTTTTCAGTTTTAATGCATACTTTGATGTTTAGTACATAATATATTGTTGATAATTTGTTGAAAATCATGTACATATACTTAAGTGAATATTTTGCTTGAGTCTAAGTCAACAATTTTTTTAATTTAATTGTGTGTTACAAATAATACGTTTTAAAATACTTCACGCAGGCAAACGAGGTGTTGGAATGCGAACACAACAATTATGATTTTTTAACAATAAACTCAAGCACTGCGATATCTAGTCTAATTAAATAATTATTATAATTCAATCCGTAATACCCGTTCTCATGTCCCAGGTTCTTCTCATTTTATTTATAGTGATAAAAATAGTATAGTCTCATCAGCAGAAACACTGATGCAGCTGTCAACTAACATAATATATTTTTTTATTTGTTAAAAGTTAAAACAGTGAAACCAGGAAATTCGGTGTGCTAAAGTACCGAGTAATTTAGTAGGTCACCGGTTGTGTTAAATTTTAATTCAACGATAAATCACCGTATGCAAAAAACGATTCTGGGCGATGTGTCATCCTCTGTTTCTAAAAATATTTTATAATTTATTTAATATTAGTAATTTATTTTTCCATTAATAGTTGCGATATAATTTAGATCTTATTTTCGACAAAAAAATGTATTTACATACTTAATTATATATCATTATTCAATAGTTTATAGTAATTATAATATTATAAGTATTACATAGCTATTATATAGCTGGTATCAACAATATTTCCAAATCATTTTACTAAGTAGGTACTAACATAAATAGTATAGAGTCATAGAGATTATGTAGGTAATGGACATTCTTATTGATAAATTAATAATTATTAACCTTATAGGTGTAGTCTTTACTACCGTGTTCCATAAGTGCAATTTGGGTGAAATTTAGGGGGGGGGGGGGGGGTGCTAGATTTATGTTGACTTTAGAGATCCATGGGAGACTTTGTCCTCCACACTCCCTACATTCATACACCACTATTCAACTAACTTATTAAAGCCTGTGCGATCTTAACCAATTTTTCATCATAACGACCTTAGCAACTTGGAGTGATTTAAAAAATGTAAAGATTTTTTATTTGTTAAAGAAGCTTACTTTGCAACGACCAAAGCATAATATATTCAATATTTTTAATAGTTTATTCCCATCAATAATTTGTTAATTTGAAAAAGGGATCTGACCAATGCAAAGTAACCTATTGTTTATGCATTCAAACATCCACAGGTGTACTCAGACCTTAAGACAGGGGGGGCAACAATTTTGTTTCGTCAACATAATCAGTGCCTGTGGAAATATTTTCTATGAGAAGAGGGTAGTGGGGACTAAATAGGGTTACATCATTAATATAAAAATTATCAAACAATATCACCAACAATGTAATTATTTTAGTAGGTACCTATCTAATATAATTAATCTAATATTATATATTTATATTACAGCAAATTTAATAGGTTTGAAAATCTATAATAACAAAATTATGACACTTTGTTTTATACTAATATTCTCATTATGATATTATATACATCATACATGTAAAATGAATGACATTGTTATTAATATAAAAACGAAAAGTTATAAGTAATATATTATTAACTAGATTCTAGATCTAGAGTAGGTATATCATTCTTCTCTCGGAGGGAGTTAATATTTTAAATTGTTGAATGAACATTGTTAGTAGGTACCTCGTTCATTTAGTCTATCTTGTACCTACTTGTTGCATTTTACTAGGTACCTAAGTAACTTTATTTTGAGTAAACTCAATTTTTAAAATGTTCAATCATAGTAACTGGAATAGTAACAAATTTTTAATAAATCCTTTTCTTTACTAATGGAATCACAATTTCTGAAAGGGGGGGATAGTTAAAAAATCCCCACCCTCCCACAACTTTTTACTTAGGTAGTAAAATATTTAATAATAATTAACAATGAATATAATTTGAATTGATTAAAAATTCACATCAAACACAATATGGAAGATTATCCACTCCAAAGCCAAAGGGAGGGAATCTGTCCCCAGCGTCCTCCCCTTAAATACGCCACTGTACATACCTAAACTAACCTAACCATCACATTATACATTTATATTGCACATATTAAAGAAGTTCTAATTTATTAAATAGTTGTCTTTAAATATTTTATGAAGTTTAAATTTAAATTTCATGAATGTGAAAACAAAGTCATAAAATACATAACCTACAAAACTTTCATATAATTGTATGTTAATAATAACACAACATAACTAGTGTTTGCATTTTAAGAGATTATCTCAGAGTCAACATAATAATGTATAGGTAGTTTATATTAGTTAACTTAAAAATAACATTAAGTTTAGTTATATCTACTATAGTTAAATGTATTAACTGTTGTGTTGTTATTTTTATCATAATTATTGTATTTTAAAGCATTTTAAAAATCATTGTTTAAAGAAATATTCTAGTTGCCCATCAACTAATTTAAAAATAATATTATAGTAAGTACCTAGGCACCATATTTTTTTTCTATTTTGTAGTTATTGTGTATTAATGTATTCAATGGCCACTTTTCTTAAGTATATCATACTAAAAAAAAACACTTTAAAATGTGCAGTATGCATTATGCATAATATTACATTACTATTCAGTATTCGGATATATTTTATGGAGTACCTAACATAACATTTTTGTTATTAAAAATAATACAAAAAAAAATACCTTATTTTAATTTATAAGTTATAATTTGTATACTGTTTGGTCCGTGAGTGATAAATTAAAAAATATAAAAAAATATTGTCAATATAATATTAAGAATTGGCAATAGGTGGGTACCCTCGAAAACACACAGTTACCTAATGAAATATATTATTTGCTTTTTAAGTGTGCGTTGCTATAAGTTTGACTGTTATTTTGTGCAATATTTTCCTTCTATACCAACCTAGTTTTTTTTAATTTTTATATGTTGGATTTAAATCGAACAGGAAATGGTGGTTATTAAGAAAAAAATTTTAATTAGAGTCGATGATATACTGCCTATAATAGCCTATTATAAGAATATCTTTATACCAATCTATAATTAAGTGTAAACGTATTCTTGTGGAAGAATCCAAAATGGTGTCTGTTTATTACCGATGAAGGTTTCACTGTTTGATCGACGATTATTCTCGTTACGAGTTCAAATTCATTATGGTGCTATGTTAGCCGCTAGGTATAATAATATATTGATTAATATAACGAGTGTTGTGAGTTAATTAAATATTTATAAACTATACGAAACTTTGGAATTTTGAGAGATTCGACTATTATTATTTAAACCAAACAATATGTAAAAATACCTCTATAATATTATATAAATTAACAACCACGTAAATTATTGATGTAGACAGGACTAGGATAAACAAAGAGGGCTAATAGGGTGAGGGCGCTTGTAACACCATAACTTTATGAAATAATAAACTATTATTTATAAAATGTTCAATTTTTATAGCTAAAGATTGAAAGTTTAAAATAATGTTTCTCATAAGCAGTTCATAGGTACTGTAGCCAAAAAATCTAAAAGTCTAATTATGAACACAGTTTTTTTTTAGACGTGTAATAACGATGTTCGTTATTACTTATTACTTATTTTGTTGTAATTCAAAAATATTATTCGTGGGAACCTTCAAAATATACTTTTTACTGTACCTACCTCTTATACTTAATGATGTTTTAAAAAAAAAATAGATTATTTTAAGCTATTACACCTGTTTATACCATGAACCTATTCACATTCTTCTACGGCAAAGGGGAAAAAGTTAATAACAATAATATAATATGATATAAATATGTACAGACTATTGTAACAATTAATATAATAATTGCAATGATTTCGACGAAAATTATATCAGACTTGCGTAATACTAGATAATAGAAAAATATTCAATTTAAAAGCAATATCAAAAAACATATCATGAAATTGAAATATACTTGACATAACCCTGACACACCATCCCACTTCAGAATCATTTTTTGTACCTATATACAATGATCACCAATATTATAAGATCCTACAGGTAACAGGTACATCATATTGTTTAGGTAGTAGGTGTCGGTCTAGCCACGGCTGCTAAGCCACCAATGTTGCTGGGTCCTACGATAGTGTTCTGTGCTTGTGTTGGGGCGCCTACATTATAAAAGATACCTACCTAATACGTATAATATCGAAGGCAGCAAGTATGCTCCACATTAATGACGTTGTCGATTATTGACGGTTATTCGTGGAAATATCAACAAACGAGGCCACAAACTAATTATACATATTTTATACGGCAAAATCCTTAATAAATAGTAAGTAACTGGTAACAATTTTAAATTAGGTAGGTAACATAGGTACTAACATGTGCACTACATTATTACTTGATATTTATTCTGTCAGAACACCAGCATGGATAATGATAGCTCTGCCTGCTTTACAAAAACAAATTTATGAAAAGAGAAAAGGTGATAAGTCATAACATATTATAAGTCATGTGCCAAAAATGACAAAGTTTTGTAAAAGAAATTAATGATTTGTATGGAGGACATTTTTATCATGTTTATGTAAATTTAATATACAGGGCAAGGTACTAACCTACTATTTGAATTTGATTATTTTCTTTCATTAAAAATAAAATAAAAAATGTTTTTAAATTGATTTATTCATGATCACATAATATTATAATATGAAATATGAATAGATTATAATATTTGTATTAGATTTTCGAGGGTTTTGTATATTTTTAAAAGTATGGGGCCCCTTTGGTGTGACCTTGTGCGTATACTTATATTATAATATGTACCTTGGATCTTTTTGACCACGTCGTCGACGTTGACGCTGCCGACCACCTTCTTGACAATCGAACATGCTTTTTCGGTGTCGGACATCGGCGGCGGGTCGACCGCGACCGTGCGACTTTCGGTTGTGGCCGACGCCACCATCGCGTCGCCCGCTGGCAAAGGATTGCTCCCGGCGCATCCCATATCGTGGAGCTTGTCCGGCCTTTGGGGCTGTATAATATAATATAATATTACAACAACAGCAGACAGTCCGATTCACCGGGGGATAAGTAAATTGTACAATATTATACAACTGTGCCGTGGGCTGTCCTCTTCGTCGTCGTCGTCGTCGTCGTCGTCGTCGTCGTCGTCGTCGTCGTCGTCGTCGTCGTCGTCGTCAGTGCTCTCTGGTCGGCTGCCGGACGTCGTCTGCCGTCGTAAGCCCCAAAGTCCCGGCTATATATATATTGATACAAAAAGTAGGTTTATAGGTGTAAGTATGTACCTCGCTATATGTATATGAGACGCGTATTGTTATTGCGTTGTATCGGAATGAAAACCAGGAACCAGAAGACGTGTGTGTGTGTGTGTGTGTGTGTGCATTTGTTTATAACAACATTGAGAGTCGGTGTTAGTACATATGTGACTATACAGGGTAGATTGCATGATCACCCTTTTTTTTATGTTCAATAATACGCAGTCATTAAAAATCTGATTTTTAGATTTTTTTTTATATGTATATTTAAAGACCATAATATTTTTAATTTCTCTAGTTCTTTTTATACTACAAGATAGTCATGTCTCTGGAGATACAGGCTTTTGTTTTATTCAAATGAGAACTCTTCTTTTCTACTGCAAATGCTTTTGGTGAATAATTTTTTCTGATAATTTCAAAATCAAAATTTGATGAGTAGTTTTTAAGTTAGGTACCTATTTAATTTTGTATACGCTTAAGACGATAAGTCCATGATTAAAGGTTTTTATAAAAAAAAATAGGGACTATGGTAATTTTAAAATCTTAATAATTAATATTAATCAACATTTACAATTCGTAAAAAGGTACAAGTATAATAAATACTAGATCCAATATTACCTAATATATATATTATATATGCTGAATTGCTGAAACCATTTTTAAGAACTATTAATCATCTTTATAGTGTAAACATTTTAACAACTGGGAAACTACTCTTTCGAATTTTGAATTCTGAAGAATTCAAAAATATGGTCTTTACAAGAAGGTTAAAATTTTAAAATTCCAAAAATCATAATTTGAATCAATTAAAAGAAAAATAAGGGTGAGCATGCTTGGCAAATCACCCTGTATGAGTATATAATATACTGCCGGTGGGTACCTATGTCCTACTCCTACATATAGGTAGGTAATATATTATAATAGCTGGTGCGCGTGGACAATAAAGAATATCGCGAGTATGCTTCTGCCGCCGACGAGCGTGCCGGTCGCTGGCGGTCATTATAATATATTATGTACATTGTGTACACTATACATGTATATAACAGGTACGTATTAATATGTATAATAATATATCGTTATTACAAAATATACAATTTATACATATATATAAATTATACTTACGTGTTACGTATAATTTCACACTCGCAATCGTTTGTACAGGGTGATTTGTTCGTGTACAATCGCCCTGTTTTTGCGGTCAACTTTTTTTTTAATTTTAAAATTATACGTCCCGACTGCTGATGTCACGTTGTTGTAATAGTTTGTATATTATTTTCACTTTGCTTTATTTTTCGCCAATTTCAATTATATAGTATTTAATAATATCATACAAATCTTCAGTTATTTTGAAAATTTAATTATTAAACTGCATTTTCAAACAGTGACTATATTATAACTAGTGCGGTTGAAAACGTTAATTATAAAGATTAAAATAAAACATAGAAAATCGTCTAACGCCTCAATGTTATTCTCGAATCCTAATAAATAATGATACACCAGTACATTTTCACTGATTAGTTATTTGAAAAATTAATCTCTGATTATCATTTATGAGAAAGGAACAGTTGCTATTAATTTATGCATACCTACCTAGCTACCCACCTACATCATTTTATACCAACGAACAAAGTATGTCACCGTATTCAACATTTGAATAATTAAAGTGTATGACTTATTGAGAACTGAAATGTTTGGTAATTTTTAAAAGAGGTAATTCAAAATATTTTAGTGAAAAATATGATTCTAATATTGAATCGAATATCGTTATAATAGCTATATATGTATAACATCAGTACATAACCAACATAAAATGGGAATATTATATAATAATATAGTAGTAAAGTTTTCCCCGACGTGAAATGCAAAAACTTAATAAATTTGAAAAAGTTAGCTCAACAGGAGGTTCTTATAGTCATGTGGCGATAACAGGTATTTTCCTTTAAAGTTAAAAGTTTAAGCGATAACATCTTTTATTATTCATTCATTAAAACGGAGATTTTGAATTTGAACCATATAGTATATTATATCCCAATGTACATACCTGCAAGAGGATAAAATATTTTATTATAAAGTTTATGGAAGTATATAAAGGTGCCTACTTAAAACGGCCGTTAATCGCTAATACAAATTATTAGATAAATCGAATTTATATTCAACAGCATAATGTTATGTTACAGGTATACCTACTACGAAGACAGCAAAGTTACAATATTGCAGATTACTGAAAACCTGGAAAACGGGCGGGAGAACGCTAAAAAAAAAAAACAAATCGCCCTGTATATAACTTTAGGTTAAGTTTGACGATCGAACACGCGTAGGCAGCTCTACTCAAAGGTGTGGGTGTGTGAGCATGCCGCCGTGACAACGTGGGGTGCAAAACATTGTGGCGGGCGACGGTGATTGCGCGCCTCGCGGTCGGCCGCTCGCTACCCCTACGGTCTGGTTTTTTTTATTTTTTAAGCCCGCGTGTAATAATATTATTATTGTTGTCGTGTGAAATTCGCACACGCTTTCACGAGCGTCCGGTGGTGGCGTCGGCCGGACGGTTTTCGCTTTTCCGCCTGTGTGCGTACGCGTTTACGGCGCAAGCGCAGGACCGCACTACTATATATAGGTGCAAAAGGAGCATCTGCTCCTGCAAGTGGTCACTATTTTGATTGGTGGCGATGTTTAAACTACCTATCCAAAAAACTTTTTGCTTTTACTTTTAATCAGTGGTGGATATATAGGGGAGGGGGGCTTGGGAGCTGAAACACCCACCGTTCCACATATTGAACTTTTTTTTTTACTTTAAAATACTTAGATTTCAGGTATCACGTAGAACTAAATGTATTAATTGTAAGCTACTACCAAAAAATTGGTTAAATTTGTTTGTACCTCGAAGACATAATATGTGTTGTTCATGATAAATACCTAAGGAGCTTTATTTTCAACAAATTACCCTCCATAAAATTCTTGATCTTCCACTGCTTTTAATTTAGAGTCTAAAACAGATTTTCAAGAATAATCAATATTATACAATTTAAAGCATTTTTAACCATCTTTGTATTTTTAAATTTAAAAAACCCACTTACCACTAAATTATAAATAACTAATACCAATTTTATCAATTTTTCCCCTGTAAACATTTATCTAAATTACAAGGTCAGTTTAATTTACAAATCTTACAATCAATAAATATACGTCGTAAGCTATTAAACCAATTTATGGCTATACTTATATTACTAGTCATGATAGATGTACATATATTATATTGTGTTGATTTGAGTCTTATTAAGATCATTTTTTTTTTAATTAAATTTTTTCCTATTCCATTCAACAAATGTGCTGAATATAGGAATATAGTTTGTTTTGTGGTTTACTAGTCTATAAAAGTATAATGGCACTCTAATGTTTTAATATAATCAATATTGTCCCTAATTTGGAATCATTTTTTTTTGTTTTTACATGTGCACATTTAAAACTTTTAATTACAGTTGTAAACACTAAACGAATTATATTTAGTAATTTATAAACCGTAGGCAGCCTTGTAAAAAATACTTTTGAAAAAGTATTAAGATAACAATACTAGTATTCGAATAAAAAAGTATTAAAAATAGTTTTAAAATACTATTATAAAAATGTATTTTATGAATACTCACAAAGTATTTGAATACAAATACAAGTATTTTTTTTAATTTTATGCTATATAATATATATATATATATATATATATATTGTACATAAGTAAAGGTACCTATTATGTTACTACTTACCATAGATTTTAACAATTACTATTAACATGTCGGTCGTCTGACTGTTTAGAGATAAATACATGTTTACATATTTCATTCTGAATTTAGATATATTTCAACTAATATTTATTAAATTTTAAATAAAAAAATAAAATAAAAAGTGGTATTAACTATTAATATGGAACTATTTTAAAATTATTAGATTTTCATTTTTCTAAAAAACTTCCAATACAGAAACCATATAAAATTTGATATGTTATTTTTTTAATTTTAAACATTGTTATCACCTAATTTTATTATACAAAAAAATAATATTAGTTTTCAATGAAAATAATATTATTTTTATTGATGTCAATTTTTTGTGAAAAACTATAAATTAAAATTAATAAAATATGGTCTTCATAATGGTCTTTATGGTATTTTAATACAAGTATTTAAATTTTGTTAAAAATACTTTTAAAAAGTATTCAAAATACAATAAAAAAATTGTATTTAGATTTTAGAATACCATATAAATACTTCAAAAAGTATTTAAATACAAGTATTCAAATAGGTACTTGTATTCGAATACTTTAGAAGACTGACCGTAGGTTATACAATAAGTTAAAAACAAACAACTGAGTATTTAAAACTGCTAAAATTATTGTAATGCAATTTCATCTTGAGTCTTGAGTCATGCATGTACTTAAATAAAATTATACAATTTAATTGAAAAAAACAATCGACTATAGAATATATTTTTAATAATTTTTTATCTCATTGGTTTATAACACATTAACACTTGTAAACGTCTAAAAGTTTTTATGTAACATAAAATGACAGTTCATCTATCAACTTCATAATATTTTGATACTGCCTCATCTGTTAAGATTAATGGAATTGAGTAATGAGTTTTAGAAATTTAAATTTGACATTTTTTTACTACAGCACCATTGTTTTGATACGAAATCAGAGATTAAAAACTTCGTAGTTTTGTGAAAAATAAAAACATAATA